ACTAGCCTTGGTGGCTAATGTGGACTTTGAACTGTAATTATATGTAAATAGATAGATGTGTTGTGTACGTTTCGAGTTCGAGTGGATGTATTGTTAGTACTGTCTGTAGAACCAGGGCATCAACGTAATTGGTTGACGCTGTGTTGATGTACCTGCGCCGTTGTCGTTGTATAAATTTTTGGCGGCAAAGTTTATAAATAAAAAACTACATAAAAATACTAACCAATCCGTTTTTCCCGTTCACCAGCGGACGGGTAATTCAAAAACCCCTAGTTTTGCGGCAGACGGTATTTCCTTTGCCTTCCTAATTTTCTCTGCCTGTAGAAATACCGCCTGCCGCGCAGGCTAAAACAAAGGTTGAACGTGATGTCGAACGATTGTATTATTTAGAGCAATACACCGTTGGTGACGCAAGAGAATTGGTAAAATCCTGTCAACATATGGCCATGCGTGGATATCGAGAAGCACGGCATTTGTTACAGAAGACCTTTGGCAATCCATACAAAATATTGCATCTGCTTATATGGACAAGCTTTCGAAATGGCCGGACTTGAAATCCGAAGATAATACAGCGTTGCACAAATTCTCGATATTCCTTGTTTGTTGCAAGAATGTGATGAAGGGAAATGCGTACCTGAATAAATTTGACGGTGTTGACTATATGCAACAACTAGTGTTGAAACTGCCATTTAGTATGAGGTGTAGATGGCGAAGACATGTTGATGACATTATGCAGATGAAAGAAAGAACAGTTATCTTTTGCGACTTAGTCGAGTTCGTTCAGAAAGAAGCCCAACCTCGTTCCCAGGGCTTCAGTGTGAGGACGGGGCGAGACACGAGGAAGCCCTGGTCCGGTCACGTCGTGACGTCAAAAAATGGCAGTATTTGACAGCTACTCGTCAAGGAGTGGCGAGATATTCTTTAATGAAATATACAAGTCTTCGAAACAAAAAAATAGCCAAAAGACTTCTCAATCGATATTATTTATGTGTAGAGCGAAGTTTGGCACGAATCAGCTAAAATCTATGAAGATCCCGTCTATGTTTTCTAAGATATACCGATATTTCTGGAGATGTTTAACTACAGGCAAAGCTCTGCATCCAAGCTGCATCTAGGCGTCTCCATGCAAGTGGTGATTCACACAAAATTTCCTTTCTCTCGTCTTGAACAATATGGCTATTGCTATAATTAATATTTAGTTTAAATATGCTCTTATAGATCTGACTTAGTTCAATATATTAAATAAACACAAATATAAAACCTCGCGTAACCTGTTTACGCTATACAGGAATATACGGTTCGCTTGTTTCGCCGGACACCAACACTTGCCGTTCAGGAGCAATGCTTGCCTACAAATTTTATCCCCTTCACAATCTTTGTTTTATTTTATCGTATAGTCGCAATTTTCAAGTATTCGGAGTATTCTGAAACTGAAAAACTGAGTGGCGTGCGAATCTTGTAGAGACTACATCGACATCGGCCTAGGCGTAGAGCTATTAAGTAAACAGGGCCTAAATGAGTTTAGTAGTTTCATTTAATTGCGTTTGTCTTGCTTTTATTTGTCAGTACAGAATATTGTAAATTAAAATATTACTACAATGCAATACGCGTTGTATTTCATCAGACATCTGCACTAATAAATACTGTACAAGGAAAACTACAGCTTAAATATTAATAGTGGACGTTTCTTGTTTTGTCAGGAAACATCACAGCTCACTTCGACACGGCTTTTGAGTTTTGTAACCTGCAGAGGCGAAAGTAAATCATGCAGTCGGGAAAGCGTCTTACTTTGAAAGATTATTTTGCAAAACATACTCGTACACACAAGAATCGTATAAAAATACGAATGTTGAATTGTTATTGTCAACTGTCAAGTTCAGTTATATTTAGACAATATGGTGTTAGCCAATCAGAATGCAAAATTGACCCGCCGCCCGGACCAGGGCTTCCTCGTGTTTCGCCTCGTCCTCACACTGAAGCCTTGGGAACGAGGTTGAAAGAAGCCCGAATCGCTACGCATCCAGTATTTGGCAACGTCTTGGGTGCTTCGAAGACAAACGTTCAAACGAAATCGAGACCAAGTAGATCTGGTGGACAAAATCGATCCAGTTTTGCCTTGACAACTGAAGCAAAAGATAAAAGTGAATTCTTGACCGTGCAAAGAAAGAGAAGTAAATCGTTTGTTATTGTGAAGATAAACTATCTAGTCACACGTTGGAAGACTGTATCAGCCTAAGAAAGAAACCTTATAAGGAGCGTATTCAGTTTATGATGGAGAGGCGAATATGCATTGGATGTTTAAAGGAATTGAAGGACACGTCGCAAAAAATTGTTCGAAAAGGTCAACGTGTAAGATAGGAGGTAGTTCCAGGCGACACCCCATCTTTCTTCATACGAGTAACAACGATTTTATCAGCAACGTAAAAAACATTTCTAAAGAAGATAAAGCCACGCCTACTATGGATGGGAATTCAACTGTAGCATTTACGAATAGTGAAATCAATGCCCAAAACTATTCTCTCGCAGGGGCCGGGAAAACAGTTATAATAATAATTTCCTTAACTACCATGGAGAAAACAAATAGTCTCGTTGATTGTTCTATTATTACCAACTTAACCGTTAGTGATTTGGATGAGAACAGTTCGATTTCGTTGCCCGTTATGTTCACGACCAAAGAGATTCCAATTGCAAGAAGAGAAATTCCTAATCAAGATGACATTGATGAATGGTCTTATCTAAGAGACGTCCACCGGCCAGAGCTAGATGGAGAAATTGGCCTCTTAGTGGGAAGTGACGTACCTCAAGCACTGGAGCCTATTGAATTCAGAAATAGTCAACATGGAGGTCCTTATGCGCCAAGAATTGTATTAGGATGGACAATAAATGGTCCTTTGTCACGCGAGAAAGATGACCCGAACGTCAGAAACTTCTTTGTTAAGTCAGACATTCATTTAAGCCAAGTAGTGGAAAACGCGATGACTCAAAATTTTACCGATAAATTTCCGTATGGATCTGACTCCAGTAACTTTTTCGCAAAATCAGAAACACCGCTGAACGATATAGTTTTGGATTCGATTAATCGAGATTTCGATGAACGAGCAGTTTATGACAAGAAAGAAATGTCTCATGAAGAGCAACAGTTCATGAGCAAAGTGAAACGAACAGTGTCTTTAAAGAATGGTCATTACCAAATCGCACTTCCATTCAAGGATGAACATCCTCAGATACCGAACAACAGAACACAAGCAGAACAACGTATGACTTGGCTCAAGAAACCCTTGCAGAAAAACCCTCAGTTCCAGAAAGATTATACCCAATTCGTCGAAGACCTTTTGAAGAAGAATCACGCCAGAAAAGTCTCACAAGATCATCTCCATGTTAAAAATGGTAAAGTTAGATATATCCCACATCACGGTGTATATCATCCTCACAAACCTGGCAAAATTCGTGTGGTGTTTGACTGTTCGTGTAAGTTTAAGAACCTTCATTGAACGACTACCTCCCGACTGGACCTGACCTGACCTGAAAAGCGACCTCGTTGGAGTTTTGATCAGTTTTCTCCTCGTGTCGATCGCGAACACTGCAGATATAGAATCTATGTTTTGCCAAGCGCAAGTGACGGAACCCGACCGTGATTATCTCCGTTTCTTATGGTGGCCTGAAGGTACCTGAATAAAGAGCCAGAAGAATATCAGATGTTGGTGCACATATTCGGCGCAGCTTCGTCGCCAAATTGTTCCTGTTACGCATTGTTGCAAACAGCTGAAGACAATAAGAATGATTCGCAATTGAAGTTATCAATAGGTACCGTGAAAAGAAATTTTTACGTACACGATTGTCTGAAGTCAAAACCGACGATCGAAAGTGCTATAAGTCATGCTTCAGATCTACGAACTCTCCTAAGTAAAGGTGGTTTTCGTTTGACTAAGTGTTCGAGCACCGATCGTAGTGTACTAAAGAGTATTCCAGCTGAAGATCGCGCCAAGGAAGTTAAAACGTTTGATCTTGATCAGGACAAGTTGCCTATAGGAAGGGTCCTAGGAATACAGTGGTGCGCTGAATCAGACCAATTTCAGTTCAAAATCGTGATCAAGTATCGTCCTGCTTCAAAGCGTGGAATCTTATCAGTTATGGCCTCAATATATGATCCCCTTGGCTTCTTTGCTCCGATAATCCTACCTGCCAAGATGATATTGCAAGACTTATGCAGATTGAATGTTAGATCGGACGATGAGGTACCAACTGAGTATTTCATGCTATGGCAACAGTGGCTAGCAGATCTCCCAAAGTTATCTGAATTTGCTGTAGAACGATGTTTTAAACCACCAAATTTCAAAGTGAAGTCAGCGCAATTACACCTTTTCTCCGATACATATATCGGAAAGAGGATATGGTTCAGTATCATTCCCACGTCAGTTGTCGTTTGATGACAAGATTAATTGTTCGTTTCTACTTGGGAAATCACGTTTGTCACCGCTGAAGACCGTCACAATTCCACGATTGGAACTTACAGCCGCGACAGTTTCAGTCCGATTGGACACTTTGATTTCGTAATAATTGGATTATCCTGCTCCATTAGGTGACACGTTCTTCTGGACGGACAGTACCACAGTTCTTCGTTACGTGGAGAATGAAACGAAGCGCTTCCAAACATTCGTTGCCAATAAAATTACCTTGATAATTAAGAGAAAGATCGTCACCTTCACAGTGGAAATATGTGGAAAGCAAGAAGAATACAGCAGATTGCACATCACGAGGGTCATTCCTAGTAACCAACAGTTGGATAAGGGGACCGTACCTCCTTTGGACGTCTGAAGATTCATGCCCAAAACGCCTTCCTTCTATTAGTGAAGTCACGAACGATGATCCTCAAGTGAAACAAGAAATATATAGTTGCTTGTTCAAATACAGTTGAAACCAGTCCAATACCAAGAATATGTTTTTGTACCGTTGTAAGCAAGTTCTCTTTATGGAATCAAGAAAAAAGAATTATAGCCTGGATTCTAGAATATCGTGTGAAGCTTCGTGAAGCCAGAGAGAAGCGTCAGACAGGAGAGAAGTTAGAATTTCAGAACCCACATAATCCAGAATCATTAAGACTACAAGTTAACGAGTTAGAGAATGCAGAACGGGAAATAACCAAATGTCTTCAAGCCTGCTCTTTTCTCGATGAAGTCGCAGTCCTGAAGCCGAGAGAAGACAAAGATCCTCAACACGAACAAAGATCCTCAATACAAAAGTACAGTTTCTAGTGTGAAAAGAAGTATTTGTCTTTCTAAATTAGGTCGTTGGTGGACGATTACAGAATGCAATTATACCAGAAAACTCGAAGCACCAGGTGATTATTCCAAAGAGCTCATGTGTAGCAGCTCTTATCATTCGCCATTTCCATCACACGTCCGGTCACTTGGGACGAAACTACATTTTGTCTCAACTTCGAAGGAAGTACTGGATACCACAAGCTAACTCAGCAGCAAGAAAAGTCCTCTCAAAATGTCTATTGTGTAGGAAAATGAAAGCATGGGTTATGGAACAAAAGATGCCTGATCTTCCTACTGATCGTCTAGTCCCGGATGAGCCACCATTATCATATGTAGAGATAGACTATTTTGGCCCTTTCCATGTCCGGCCTGGTAGAAGCATGGTTAAGAAATATGGCGTCATATTTCCGTGCCTTGTTACTCGTGCTGTTCGCATTGAAGTATCCGATACGCTAGACACAGATTCATTTTTGATGGCGTTACGGCGGTTTATTTTAGCAAGAAGGGGAAACGTAAAAGAAATAAGACCAGAAAACGGAACCAATTTCACAAGTGAAGAGAAGGAGTTACGTGAAGCAGTGTTGAATTGGAATCAATCTAAAGTCCATTGCCAGCTTTTGCAGAAAAATATCAAATGGATTTTCAATCCACCTTCTGGCTCGCATCACGGAGGCGTTTGGGAACGCCTCTTTAGAACGTTTGCTGAAGGCGCTGATAATAGAGCAAGTCGTGGATGATGAAGGATGGATTTCGTACATTTATGTGTGAAATGGAAGGAATTATGAATGCTCGTCCTATTACCACAGTTAGCGATGATATGAATGATCCGGATGCTTTGACACCTAATCACTTGCTGTTGGCAAGATCCAATCAGTGCCTCCCACAAGGTATTTCAAGAAAGAAGACATCTTTTCTAAAAGAAGATGGCGGAAGATTCAGTATCTTGCTGACATATTTTGGAAACGCTGGACACGGGAATACAGTATATTCCACTACTGCAAGAAAGACAGAAATGGTTGCAGCCCAAACGCAACGTAAAAGTCAACGACGTCGTATTGCTAGTTGATAATTCTTCACCCAGGATTACTTGGCCAATGGCAAGAGTGGTTTTGGTTCACCATGATAAACATGGACTTGTGTGAATAGTAACAGTTAATTAAGACTAAATCAAACATTTTAGAAAGATCTGTTTGTACGTTAGTTTTGCCTTTTGGAAGCTGGCAAACTCGAGACTGATTAAGAATTATTTGTTAAGTTTAGTATAAAAGTGTTCACACCTTAGGGGCCGGTGTGTAATGGCCAATTAAGGCATTAGCAGTTATTTGAATTGTAAATTATGCAGTATAACGTAAGCATGCTTGACTGCATAAGTCAGTAAGCCGTTCGTCAAAACCTTGTAAACCGTAAAAGGTAGTTGTCGTTGTTATACGAACTTGTTAGAATAAAATTGAGAAAATACTTATACGCGTTTACACTACATTATATGCAAGTAGCCCATTTTGGCAGCTATAATGAAGGCATTTCAATTCAGAGTTTAAGACATTCTGGAGCTCATCCAACTGAGTCGGCCGCAAAGCTAACACTTGTATCGTCTGCAAACATTCTCGGCATTGCATAATTGAGGCAATTCTGGAGGTCATTGATGTATATGAAGAACAATAGCGGATCCAAATTGCTCCCTTTTGGAACACCACAGGTCACCGGGTTTGAACTCGACAGATGGTCATTGACTCGACACTTATGCGATCGATCACTGAGGTACGATTCAAGCCACTAAGACTATTTGGGTCCACCCCATAATTTCCTAATTTTTGTAACATAATTTATGATCTATCGTATCGAATGCCTTCTTTAAATCAATAAAGACGACTCCATTAACTAGACCATTGTCTATATTTACAGACCAGCTATTAATATAGTTTCTAATAATGCTGTTAAGATACTATGTAACGATCTGAAGCCAGATTGACAAGTATTCAACAGATTATAGCTGTTAAAATATTCATACAGTTAATCATAGACATTTTTTTCTAAGATTTTTGCGACAAATGGTATTACAGATATAGGTCAGTAATTATACTCGGGTTATTGCTAGTGCCACTTTTGTTATTCTTAGTGCCACACAGACAGATTTCTTTTCATAAATAGAGTGCAATAGATTATAAACTGTATCTAGGGTAGGTGCTTTCAAAGAAAACCTTTTATCAATTGGTCTAAGATAGACTTCTTGATCATGCTCAGGCACAGGGGTCCAACTAAGAGCTGTGTTATGAGTATGAATAAAACATTAATAAATCGTAATATGAATAAAACATCATAACGTAATATATTTAAATTATTGCACTTACTTGTATAAATCATTAGAGCTTGTATTTCCAGTGAATAGCTTCAAACAGGGCGCTTATATATGTTCAGAAACATTCAGTCAAACGATTGTTCAAATATGGCGAATAAATTGACAAAACGAAAATATTACATGACGTTCCAACGAAAATAATAGCAAGGATTGCGGGCGCGAGCGGAAGGCGAGGGTAATAGATATTAATAGAAGGGATGAAACGCCGGTAATGCGATCGTGTGATGTGTTCCATAAGTAGCCTGTTCTCTCGGAAAATTCCAAAACGCCTCCTGCCAACTCCAACAACGCCTAAGCTCTTAATTAATGAAAATAAACAATGTTTAGCTATACCGGCTAATATGAAATATTTAAATGTAGCGACGAACGGTTTTTTTTACATTATTTAGTTTTATTATTATTTCGTCATACGTCACGAGAACAGGCTACTTATGGAACACATCTCGCGAAAATGGCCAAGAATGCTCGCTGTTATAAATCACATAAATTAGATTGATCAGTGCTTTTTTTTGTAATGACTAGGCTTGTTCATGTATGAGAACATCGACTGAACCTTAAAAACCCCACAAAAAGCTTAAACGGATAGTCTAGAACCATTTTAAAAAAGTCACGTGATAATTGTTTCATCCCTTTTATTCATTTCTTCCCTCGCCTTTTCGCTCGCGTGCCTGCAATCTCTGCTGTTATTTTCGATGGAACGTCATGTAATATTTTTGTTTTGTCAATTTATTCGCCATATTTGAACAATCTTTCGATTTGAGCAATGTTGCTGAACATATATAAGCGCCCTGTTTGAAGCTATTCACTGGAAATACAAGCTCTTATGATTTATACAAGTAAGTGCAATAATTTAAATATATTACGTTATGATGTTTTATTCATATTACGATTTATTAATGTTTTATTCATACTCATAACACAGCTTTTAGTTGGACCCCCTGTGGCTCAGGCGAGGAAATTTCATTTCAAGATTTTTACCGACACTAACAAAATAGTTATTAAATGCTTCAGTCATCTCGGCCGGTGAGGTAATTACTTGCTCCTCCACAATAACTTCACAATAATGAGCTCAGATCATTAATTAGTTTCCAGGACGTTTTTTTCATATTGCATCTATGTGACTCAAGATTTTCAGTAAAATAAGTGCGCTTGGCCTTTTTAATCGCATTGTTAATTTTGATTACGAGCTTGTCTATATTAATGCCAAACTTCGGAATCATTTGTTGAAACAGCTTTCTTTTTTAATTAAATAGTCTCTATTAAATATTTCACGTCTTAACTTTTTGTCGACCACGGCTATAATGTTCTGATATTTAATAGACTTCTTGATATCACGGCTACATGTAAACAACTGAATATATAATGTCCATATTCTAAATATAAACTTATCGTAATACGTGCGTTAATGATTAATAGACGTACATTACTATACCATTCCCTTTGTTTTAACTTGATTGTCAAATATTAAAGTGTTTAATTAAATTTGAAGTTATTTAGCTATTTCATTGTTATGTTAGTTTATTAGATTTGATGGATATTCATGTCCGTATCGATTCAGTGTTCTTCGAATTCGGCTTGATCTTCTTGGTACTTCGTTGTGTTCATTACTGATAGATGGCTGATTGTCCTGCGAGTTTTCTTCATAATCGAAACCTTCATCATCAGTGTCTTCTTCTCGTGGTTTATTTATTCGCTTGAAATGTGACACGTTCCGTTTCACAATATGACCATCTTTACTTTGGGCATGTATCTCTGAACCAGTTTTCTTTATCACTTTATACGGTTTGTGATTAAAATTCGCAGTTAGCTTGTTTTTCTTTTTTTTGTCTAACCAGTACATAATTTCCAACTTGTAGATCTCTTTATCTTGTGTTTCTCGTTTGATTTGCATATTTTCGGATGCGTTCTTGTCGTGTTCTCTCATTGTCTCGAGCTTCTTTATGTCGATCGATTGACAATCTTGTTGCTGTTTATAACTGGTAATTTTCCTTTTATCACTCGGTTAAACAACAGTTCTGATGGAGGAACTCCTGTAGTGCAATGTGGAGTGGTATGACATTGTAAAAGAAAACGGTTCAATTCTTGTTTCCATGGTCGTCCTTCAAGTGTCGCTGTCTTGAGCGCTTTTCCTAACGGTCGCATAAATCGTTCAACTGTAGCATTACCTTGGGGCCAGTAGGGTGTTGAAAACTTAGCTTGAATACCCAGGGCTTTCAGATATCTTGCATATTCGTTTCCGTTAAAAGGAGAACCATTGTCAGATATAATGGTGTCAGGAATGCCATGGACTGAGAACATTTTGTCAAGTTTTGGAACGACTGTTGAGGCTCGTGCTGAATGAACGATCTCAACCTCTGGGAATCTGGAGTGTCTATCTACCGCCACTAAAAGATATTCAGATGATGGTAGTGGACCATAAAAATCTATGTGGACAGTTCTCGATGGTAACTCTGGCATTTCGGTCATACGTAATGGTTCTGGAGGATTCGCCTGTTATATTGCGGTTATATACATTTCAAAGTCTGACTGCCAATTGTTCCATCTTCTCGAAAGGCTTGTTCCAATTTTTGCATCTGGGCAAAATTCTGGCATTGGAGTTATTGTTACAGATTGCATGATCTGTACACCCGCTTGCTGCAGTGGTTGAGGCTCTGCCTGCTCTTCCACCATCGTTTCGTTTAATAGAATACGTTTATCGACTTTATCTTCGTCGCCATGATAATGTTCTGATATTTAATAGACTTCTTGATATCTCGACTACATGTAGACAACTGAATATATAATGTCCATAAACTTAAACTATTCTAAATATAAACTAATCGTAATACGTGCGTTAATGATTAATAGACGTACATTTCTATAACGGCCAGTGTCGTCCTAAGTCATTCGTGATCCAAGGGGATTTGCAGTTGCTAATCCGCCTTATCTTAAATGATACATGCTTGTCAACTGTTGGCATTAGCATGCTTTTCCAAATTTCCCACATTTTATTCGGGTCTTCGCAGCAGTAGACATTACCCCAATATTTCTGTTCGAGGTCCCTCAAGAAATTTTCGCTATTGAAGTTCTTCATTGTTCTTGCCTCAACGCGCCTTACGCCATCTCGTGCATAATGGGCTTTGCGTATCATAATCATGTAGACTAGCGAATGATCACTAATTAGTGAGCTTAAGAAAGTGACGTTTTTGACAACACGGACGTCGACCAGAAGTAATGTTGACGTTTTCACCAATCACAGCCCTTGACCCAGTCTTCTGACGTTACTCATGCCGTTCGTGTTGTCAAAAACGTCACTTGCTTAAGCTTACTATTGATAAATGCATGACGCCTGAGTTTACAACATTAGCAGGCGCACTATAGTAATGCATAGATCAATCAGGGTTCTAGATTTGGCGTAACACGAGTGGGTTCATTTATCATTTCTTCTAACCCATAAATGTCAAATACTTAGAACAATTTTGCTCTGTTTGTTGATGTAGCTGTCGACAGGAGGTCGATATTTAAATCATCCAACAGGAAGTATTCCAAATTTTCTGCGTACAATATTCATTGACCCAATCATTCGCTCAATTTCAGAAAAATGACTCACAGGAGAATCAGGAGGTCTGTATCAGGTACTCACTAAAATTGACTTTTCTTTATTTCCACGGTTAAATTTTCAATAATTTCCGAATTTAGATCGTCTCGTATTTGAAAATTCAAGTTAGACCGAATATAAATGCAAACACCTCCGCCATTTCGGCAGTTTTTAATACGATCTTTCCTAACAAGTTCAAACCCCGGCAAACAGACCTCATGATAATTTATTGTTGAGTCAAGGTAGCTTCGTTAATGCACAGAATATCTATTTTAGTGCTGCTCATACCTGTAGTTATTCGTAATTCGTTTATATGGGCAAGAAGACTGTTTATATTAAAGCTAGCCATAACCAACTCACCTTGAAATGACATTGTATAGTTACATGTACGTGAGGTATTAGGCTCATTTAATTCACCAACGCCTACTATTAATTCTTCGCTATTCATACTTGTCAATTTCTCTACATTAATTATGGACTCCCACATGGCATTATTATAGTGTTGACATTTGACTAAAACTATCGATAGAAATTAGGAGATATTAATTTTTGTACTGAATCGAATGGTGGTATTTTCATATAGCATGTACTGAATCAAAGATACGAACCTCCAAATAAACAGGTCGAAACCGACTTAAGGTCACGTTTGTTTATAAATATTGCTGAAGTTGAAATAGTTAAAATTGTATTTTCAGTCTTGATAATAAATTTAATAATGGTTCTGTATGCTCACTTTTTTCTTTTATGCCGTTTTGGACACATTTCTAAAATAATAAATATCAAGTTTCTTCGCTTGCAACCAAAACCTGTTATTTTAATACGTTGTTTCCATGCATAGTGTACCTTGTCTAGGAAAATAGCAGATGTCTTCTCGCAAACTGGACATAACATTTTCTCATTTCGTAGAGCTAGTAAATAATCTCTTTGTCAGCTTGTTGCAGTGCTATAAATGAATATTTTCTCAGCCATTTTGACTTGAATTTTGTGTTTGACAATATACGCACCCCCCCCCCGGTTTACCGCCATATTTGGTGTGGCATCGTGCAGAGGCTACGCGCCTTCATAGCCAACTAAAGACTCTGCGGAGGAAAGAGACAGGGGCTATAATCTTTCAAACAGTAAAATTATTTTTTTGTATCTTCATCTTATGCTCATACATGAAAATGTTAAATTTTTGGGCTCTGAAATGGTACAGAATTTATTGTCCGTAACAGTGCATTTACCAGCACTACAAAGCATGGTCATTACAAAACATAATTCTCCCAGTATATTGCACTTTCCTGATTGGGAGGGGCTAGAGTTTCCACATAATTGAGCTGCAGCCGTCCCCAGCCCCATACACGACTCTTCCACGACCCCTGCCTTGCCCAATTTGTCTTCAAATGTTTCCATTACTTTCCAAATTATAAATTTGGTGCTGTTGACATGAAGTGCTCCTCAATTTTAAATTTCAAAACTTTCCTCCTGTGCCTATGGTAAATAATTAAACCTTGAAATCTAGCACTATAAAAATAAATGTCAACTGCATGTAAGAGATTCTCGGATTCAGAACAGAAGTTAGTTTCCGAGATGTTGACACACTATTTAATACTGAATGTATGTACAGAACAAAATTGAAAAGTTGTTACTAGGCTCATCACCAGTGGGGCACACTAGGGGTCATGAGGGAAACTCGGAAAGCCCTGAAAGAAAGCTGAATAATTACTGTGTGGGAAAGCTGCATTGACGCCTTTGATGGCTTAAGCTATATATTGCATGAAATTTAAACGCAAAAAAAGGTTGAGGAACTAACATTTCCAGCTATGGTATCTGGAAAATTAAACTATTAAATAATTATATTAATCACTTTGTCATTATTAAATACAATTTGTCATTATTAATTACATTTAATATAAAATATAATCTTTACATAAATTAAGAGCCTTTGATGAAATTGATATAACATCAATAAAGTATGTCAATTTATATTTTATAATATACTATATTTATAATATTATGTATCGTATGGAGTCTCTTGCATTGAACAACTACACAGACACTCATTCACGATCAGGTTTTTGTCATTTGTAATTGAAAGATTCAAGACATCACTCACAATTTTTGTAGATTTGTGCAATTATAAACGGTACAGCCTTTCTCGCATATTTTTTCGTCTGTCTTTATAAATTACTTTGTATATAAAATGTCCCTTTGGCGATTCCAATATTTAAATAATCCAATGCCCAATTTTGCCCCGCTTTTTAATACATTGTAACACAACATCCAATATATTTTATATTAAAAATAAAATTTCCGTTGATAGACAGCAGATTTCAACGACCGAATCGACTCTTTGCCTTCTTTGAAGAGTTAATACACTTCTAAACACCATACTTCTTATACTCAGCCATATTTATTAGTACAAGTTGTACAAATTAATGACCAATCAAATCACTTCTCATTTTGGTTTTGGCCAGGGCCTTCGGCAACGCAGTGTCAGCCGTCAGGCCCTGGGACCGAGGATGCCAACTATAGCTCTTCGATCATAACTTCATTTTTTATTGAGAGCACTAGATCTTATGCATAATGACGTCACAAGACTTGATGCCCGCGAGGAATGCTGGTCTTAGTAGTCATCTCCCGGGAATATTTCGATTGTGGCCATTTTGAATTGTTTAATTTTCCCGGGCGATGACTTCTTAGACCAGCATTCCTCGTGGGCATCAAGCCTTGTGACGTCATTACGCATAATACTATCTTATTACTTAACTGATAAATGAATCTTACTTGAATACACCGATCTTTGGAGAAAGAAACAAGGACAGAACCATTTGACTTTGAAAAGGCATCCTATGTAGTTTAGAGGCGTGCTACGCGCTAGCGATATATATTAGGCAATTGTACGAAATAATATTTCCCCCTATGTAATGCGGCTATGCAAAACATGAATAATGTTTATACTGTTTTTGTATCAGATAATTTTGGTCACTGCACGTTATTGTATTTTCTAAATCTGGCAACAAGCCTTTTTAAAAAGTTAGGAGGTTAGCCCTTACATACCTCAGTGACAACTGATGTGAATCCATCGACATATTTCCATGCTTCTCTTGGCATGTCACATCTGGCTCCATAATTATCACTTATCAATCCAATTGGTACAGTAAAATTACAGATAGAATTGTTATATGCTTTCACACACATCCAATCTGGTTCTGCTGTTATGAATGTCACGATCATTATTTGAAATGCAAGAGTAGCAAATGCTACGTAACCAAATATTCCGAGAAGTATGCATTGGTATCTTCCAAAACTCCCAATCTTTTCAAAGATCTCATCAACTGTTAACGCCATTCAGTGATAGAGATGTGCTCCTTAGTCAACACTACACGTATAAAAACACATAATTCAAAATGAGCTCTTCTGAAAAACAAAATGAACCTTAGGTACACTCTAAAACACAGTGGATAAAATTTTCTGGTTATAATAATAAACCAGAAAACTGGATAATTTAAACTAATTAATTAAGTTTTCTGGTTATTTTAACTCTCGTCCTACCAAAGTCTGGTTGATGTACCCAGGAATTTTGTCAAAGCATATATATATATATATATATATATATATATATATATATATATATATATATATATATATATATATATATATATACATTTATTATATAAACAAGGTCTCGATATGAGGTATTCTGCAATCTGATTGGTTCTCTACTAGCAGGATATTAGCTCGTATCCTGCTAGTAGAGAAAAACAAAATGGCGGCTCAAACTGAATTTCCGATGTTTTGCGAACGAGAAAACGGCAAGTTGTTCGCCTTTTTATAGCTTTTACAGGATTAAAAACACGATGAGAAAACTCCCACAAATTGTTTACACGCACTGTTAATTTCAAGGAGTTATTTTAACTCCACCATAGGAGTTAAAACTACTCAACTCGGGAGAGTAAAAATAGTGGAGTAAAATCTACTCCCAAAATAGAGTTAAAACTACTCCACTTCGGCGCGCATTCCACAATTTACTCCATCAGGAGTCAATTTTACTCCGCTGGAGGAGTAAACTAAACTCGCGTTTAGGAGTAGAAATTATGGAGTAATTTGTACTCCTTAATTTTACTCCAGGGGTCGTTTCAACTCCCAAAAAAGAGTAAAATTGTTCTGGATCTGGAGTAAATTATTACAATATATAATTAATGTGCCTGAGAATCCAAGAGTTTTTCTGCTGGAGGCTATACTCTATTAAAGTATTGAATACAGTCAGATGCGAAAAGCGCGAAGTTCGAGATATAAAGTTTTTTTTAATTTTACGTTTTTGGTTACTCGAATGTTGCCAAGTCAGGTTGATGCCATTGATGTATTATACCGTATATCGGCTTCAATCGCACGCGGCGATCGAATGTAGCCAGAAATTGTCGGCGAGTCATCTATATTATTTATTTGCTGGCCTAAATCTGTAATTTGAACGTGTGGAATGTTCTGCTGCTGAATTCTGCTGAATATAATTTTCGACAAGTGGAAGTTGCAGAGTTTTAACCAATTAGCATGCTTAGAATATATCACGTGTTGTAGTAATTCGATCTGGTTCACACAAAGACCAAGCGCCAAGTTCAATCCTTCGAGAGCAAACATTCAAAGTGATATTTATTCAAATTTTCTACTTATAAAGTTCCAAAGACCTAATAAGATACATGGAATTTGTTTTCAAAGGTATGTTTATTGTGTATTTACTTACTTGTGTGCGGAAAGTTACTTGATATACTGTATAGTTATATTTTTAAATCGAAGACGAAGGCCTGTATTTTAGTCGCTTCGCCGCCGATTTGCCGATCTAGACGTTCAGTTAAAAATATTCGATTAATTTGTATTAGCAGAAGTCCATAAGTCTAATCTACAGTCTCTACTTATATGTGTTGTTAGCCCCGTTTACACGAGCAAATTTTATTTGACAAATTTCATTTCATCAAAAGCATTTGTTGTTCAAATGCATTTGTCACAAATTTATCATCTACACGAGCAAAATATCTCTGACATATGAAATTTGTCAAATAAAATTTACTCGTGTAAACGGGGCTTTATTTGTGTAATATACATGTATGTTGTATTTCGTGTTAAATAATAATGTATACTTTAATATATAGCCTATGTGACCTGTTTGAAATGCAGTCACATTTGACAGCATTGCAATAGCCCATCTAATGTTACCCAGTGTATGGGGTATGACTAAAGGGAGAGTTACCAACCGGAGAGTTATCTCGGAGAGTTATGATTTCGGAGAGTTATGTTCAAACCACGCCCACTTTCCCCAACGACCACACCCAATTTCTTAACTCTCCCGACGTTTCCTTGAACTAACATGAGAGAGTTATGTTTGACGTAACTCTCTCTCTCGTTAACATTATGAAGATGTTAGAGAGTTATCATTTTTTATAACTCTCCGCGTTCACGATTATGGCAATGAAGAGAGTTAAGTCAGTTTTTTGAGAAAACCTTAGTAAAGCTTGTTTCTTCAGATTTTCATCTTATATTTTGGTATTTCAGTTTGTAGCGTGTCAATAGCGTGCGTCCAAACAGGAAATACAAATTGACTCGGTCAAAACAATGAGATGCTTGCATCAGAAGTGAACATGTATATTTATATAAACATTTACATATAGATG